TGAATCATTATGTTAGAATAAACATAATTAATCCAACTGACCATAAGACAAATGACCTTTCATCCTTGCACACCCTGAGCAACTAATAAAAGTTTTAATATAATATTTGCATCATATCAATACTCATTTACCAATTTATCCAGCAAACAATAAATCGTACCACCCATCCATAAAAATGAGGGGATGAGTACAGCCTTGTTAGTGGTTGTGTGTGATTCCATTATGCATAGCCCCCACATGTTTGATTTTTCAAATGAAAGCATAGCATTAATAATTAAAATTTTATTAATTTTTCAAATTTAATATGGATGTGGGGAATGAAAATTAAATTTAACTATTTTACGTGATACTTTACATTTTAAGATTAAATTTTTTTTTCACATGTTAAATTAGGATTAAATAAGTCTGTGATATAATTTAACCCAATTATACCTTTTTTTGCTTTCAGGGTGCGTTTGATTTCAGAAATATTTTACTACTAAAAAGATGGATTATCAATGAAATAGATTACCTTGAGGGGGCCGTTTGAATTGAGACAATATTAGATAACTGAGGTAATATTTTTTAAATTGAGCATATGATAATGTTTGGTTGATTTGTAAAAAAAATATTCCTGAAATCCTTTATGACAAACAGTGGCATTTGGGGGGTAAGTTGTCGAGAATATTACCTTTGGAAAGGGGGCTGGGCTGTTATTAAAACTTACCCTAAGGAATCCAATTTTGTGTCCCATGTTGCCCCTAAACAGTTGAACATTTGGTCCAAATTATCCTTATATTTGTTAGAATTTACAAAACACCCAATTCACCCTTTTCTACGCTTTCACGCGACCTGCAAGCGTTTTGGGCGGTGGCACCGTCTCATTGGATTCGGGTGGCATGACCCAATCCAATTGGTCTAGCCTTCAACTGACCATTTAAAGAGTATTATTGAACCTCTCTAGGTAACTCATGATGGTTGGGTCGGGCTGTGAGTTTGAAGGAATATTCCCTATGATATTCTGTTGGACTGGTGGCACTTCGGGAGAAGTGTCCTCCTATACCTGGGGCACTTTGAAACCGAGAGCCATTTGCTATTGTGGGACTGATTAGTCAGAGATTTCGTTGATGAAGAGCAGATACTAAATTGGGCTCTCTTTCTAACGCCAAACTGTTGATGCTTGATTTTGACACTAACTACTCGCATGTGTAAAATGCTAAAAAGACTTAGAAGTCATACGTGATACAAGGGGATTGAATTAAATAAAAAGTGAAGAGCAATAATTAAAGTGGTTTAGATGCTCAAAAGCGAATCCTACGTCTATTACTATTGTATTAATAAGAGAGAGAGAGACGTCAGGTCACATTCAACGAGCTGAGTTACAGTGTAGAGTGAGTATACAAGAGAGAGAGAGAGAGAGCTATTTCAACGTAAAATTAGCTATTCCCCCAAAATAAGAGGGGAGTCATCTATTAATAGTGGGAAAGTTCAAAGTAACGACTATAAAAGCTGCAAGTAGGTAGGTGCTGTGCAAATCTTTTTCTGTGTTCAATTGGTCATCTGTTCGAGAGATTTTCTCGATTAAAGTAAGACTTTGACACATAAACAATCTTCAGCCACTTGCTAGCCTGACACTCATCTACTATACTAATAGGAGACATACCACTTGTGCGAAGTGTAACGTGAGCGCATCTAGACAATACAGAATCCGTCTAAGCTCTAACCAACCTTTGAGTCTCGTCAACTCTATTTTTCCAGGCGGAACACACTTCATTCTACATATTAATCAATTTATTACTTTAATTAATTAAGTCAATGAAGCATTATTCTAAAAGTTACCGTCTTTTGGAAATTTTAACCTATGAAAATCTGAAACTCAATTATTATGACAGAAGAGCAATAATTACTCTTTTTTAAAGAACACAACTTAGGCACCATGGAACCCAAGTGCGAAGATACAGAGTAAACGACATATGTATTCGGCCATGGCACGACACCGCACATGGCACTACTCGCGCCCACTTTATACCTGTCAAGAAACTTTGGTGAGTGGTGACATCAGCTTTCTCTCTCCTTCGTGGATCCACCCACCGTCAACCATTATGTTGGAAAAAACATAATTAATCCTATTGACCATAAGACAAATGACCTTTCATCCTTACACACCCTTAGCAACTAATAAAAGTTTTAATATAATATTTCCATCATATCAATACTCATTTACCAATTTATCCAGCAAACAATAAATCGTACCACCTATCCATAAAAATGAGGGGATGAGCACAGCCCTGTTAGTGGTTGTGTGTAATTCCATTATGCGTAGCCCCCACATGTTTGATTTTTCAAATGAAAGCATAGCGTTAATAATTACAAATTTATTAATTTTTCAAATTTAACATGGATGTGGGGAATGAAAATTAAATTTAACTATTTTACGAGATACTTTACATTTTAAGATTAATTTTTTTTTTTTCACATGTTAAATTAGGATTAAATAAGTTTGTGATATAATTTAATCCAACCATACCTTTTTTGGCTTTCAGGGTGCGTTCGATTTCAAAAATATTTTACTACTAAAAAGATGGATTATCAATGAAATAGATTACCTTGAGGGAGCCCGTTTGGATTAGGGTAATATTAGATAACTGGGGTAAAAAATTTTAAATTGAGCATATGACGATGTTTGGTTGATTTGTAAACAAAAATATTCATGAAATCCTTTATGACAAATAGTGGCATTTGGGGGGTAAGTTGTCGAGAATATTACCTTTGGAAAAAGGGAGGGGGGGGGGGGGGGGGGGGGGGGGGGGGGGGGGTGCTGGGGCTGTTATTAAAACTTACCCTAAGGAATCCGATTTTGTGTCCCATGTTGCCCTTAAACAGTTGAACATTTGGTCCAAATTATCCTTATATTTGTTAAGATTTACAAAACGCCCAATTCACTCAAGCAGACCATTTTGTCCTCACTTTTAAATTTTTCGAACGACATTACCTTTGTTATTGTCATTATTTACAGAAATGCCATTGTACAACAGTCATTGATCGCCGTCAAAGGCTACCGAAAGTCGCCATAATAGCATAAGACCTACCGTATATGGCCGGCAGTGTGTCAGTGAGGCCTTTTCTGTCTATGGTTGGAAACGACGAGATCTAGCCGTTTCATGACCAAAGACCTGACCATTTCACAGCCAAATCTGTGGTTGTTTCATGGCCACATCTTTCACGGCCACATCTGTGGCACCATCGGCGTCACAGCCAGATCTGTGACATTGCTCGCAATCACTGGCGGTGATGGCTGGCTATCGATAGTTGCTTGGGGTGGGTAGGGGTATTTTTGGTAAGTTTAAAACGTTTTTTATTGCTAAGGTGTTTTTGCTAAATCTGAAAAGTAGGAGGTTAAAAGAAATTGTTAAAAAAATAATAATAAAAAATACTATTATATTCATATTTAAAAAGGAGGACAATTTAATAATTTATATAACATACTCACCCATATCTTCCCAATCAAACATATTATTCACTAATTTATTTAAACTAACCAAACACATTTTCTAAATATTCACAATAATCTTTAAGGTGATATTTCTTTCTATTAATATAATATCTCCTATAATAAAACATTATATGATCCAAATACCCCCTAAAGATTACGGGAGAAACCTTTTGCTGAATTGCCTTTCTTTTTTAATAATAATAATATTATTATTTTATTATTTAGATTATTCTTTAACCCTCTACATTTGATAATTTAACTAAAACACCCCAGTCACAATAAAGTTTAAAATTTAACAAAACATCCCAGCTACCGAAGATAACTATCGGACACTGTCGACATTTGTCTTTGGTGGTTGGAGTGTTTTGGGTGGTATTCATGTAAATAATTTTCAAAATAAGGGCATTATTATCAAAAAAAATTAATGTACTTAAGGGTGGTAACAAAATTAAGATTAATTTATGTAAAACAAGGGCCATTTTTGTCCAAAAAATTAATTTATGAGGTTACAGAAATCATTTCACACAGTTTGACTAATTGTTATTTGGTAGACATATGATGTCATTTGTATCCAAAAATGTTTCTATAATTAAGAGTAAAATTAGTAAAATTTGGATTACTCGGTAATCTTCTAATAATAATCACTAGATCAGTAATTATATAATCCCCTATATCATTTACAATAATTATCATTGGTATTAGATGATTATCAGAAATTTTTTATTACTTGACAATCAAATAAGGTAATATTTGGAATCAAAGATAAATTTCGGAAACAATCTTTCTAAACCTCTAACCAAACACACCCTCGAGGATTGGAGTGTCTAACCTAGTGAACTGATGCTACCCAAACGTGTAATGTCATTCTTTTATCAATAGGAGTGAATGAAGCGAAATTACTTTTTCACTCAATTTAAACTCCGTTAAGGTAAACTATGCTTTGACCAACTTTGAGGAGTTAAATGCCATTTTCATCCCTTATTATAATAATAAGTAAAAAAAAAATTTCTAACCCTCAAATTGGTAGAATTATAACTAACCACGTTCCTTTTAAATTTATTTTAGTAGCATCCTCTTCTCTAACCTTTCCATCATCATCTCCAAACAAATCCAAAGCATCCAATCCACCACCACCACCTCCTTTCTCTCTCTTCTACTGTTCTCTCTTCTCCGCATCTTTCTCTCTTCCCTTTCTCTCTCTCTCTTCTACAAACGACAGTTAAATCTGGCCGCCAAGATCTGCTTGCCAACGGTCAGGATCCGCATCCTCCCTTTGTCCTTCTCTCTTCTCTGCCTCCTCTCTTTCTCCTTATCTCTTCTATTATGTTAATTTGTGTTAATGAAGGTAATGTTAATGGAAGATGTTTGGTGTGTGTTAATGAAGGTAACAGGTGAGCTATTCACTGAAGAAGAGGAAGAAAGCAGACACCCAGGCAGTAGGGGTTTGCTGTAGGTTTTCAAACCTGAAGGGGTTTGCTCTGTTAAAATGGTTATTTTGTAATTCTATCAATTTCAAGGTTAGAAAGTAATTTATTAATTTACCCATTAGTATGATCGAGGTAAAAATGGTATTTGACTAGTTAAAGCTTGGTCAAAGCAGAATTTACGGAGTTTAAAATTGGGTGGAAAAGTATAGTTTTTAAAACTATGAATAAAAATATGTAATTTTGCCTTAGGTAGATAAATATGATTCACTACATCAATAGCTTCTCTTGCTGAGAGAAAACGGACAACTAAAAGTTAGAAAGTAACTTGGGGAATGCTTCGCTGTGTTTTTGTTTAGTATCTGAAATTTCCTAGAAAACCTATCGAAGCAAACAGTCAACTGGAACTCAAGCAAATCACCCAGATCGGATCGGTTAGTTCTGTAACATAATTGAATCTAATCCTTCCCGATCTTCTATTTCCAGTAGGTTCAGAGTGAAATCTGGGGTTGATTTATAAGTTGAATTCTGATTCTGGTTTTCCACTTTTCCAATTTTGCCGTGAAACTTGATGGGAAGTTCTTGATGTTTTGGTTACTAACTTTTACATTTTTGGCAACTAACCTTGCTGCAGTGCAGAGTCTTTCCTTTAGTGAAAGTTGATGGCTTCTTCTTCTTTTAGTAATCCTGCGGTGGAGCATGACGTTTTCTTTAGTTATGACGGCCGGGACACCTTCTGCCTCGAATTTTCCAGACGTCTTCGTGCAGCTTTGCTGCGGAAACAAATTGTAGCTTTCTTTGATTTACCATGGAAAAGTGATGAAAATTTGCCATTCCTTTTGAATGCAATTGAATGTTCAAAGATTTCGGTTATCATTTTCTCAGAAGCCTATGCATCTTCTAAATGGTGCCTTGAAGAACTCGTAAAGATCTTTGAAAGCAGGAAAATACATGGGCAAATCGTGATACCAGTTTTCTATAACATAGTTCCATCAGATGTAGAGAAGCAAACTGGGACCTTTGGGGATGGATTTGCCAAGCTTCAAGAACTCTTTAAGGAGAGTCCATACATGCTGCAGAGATGGAGCATCGCTTTGACAGTAGCAGCAAATATACCTGGCTTTCATTAACAAAAGACAGGTAATGAATTATTAATTTTACTTTTGGACATTTTAGCTGACTTTCCTTTTTGTCATGGTTACAACAAATATGTAGCTTGAAATTTAAAGCTCTTAAATACCACGTCGCCAGATAGCTAATTAATAATATATTTTTTCATTAAGCTAAAGTATTTTTCAGCTTAACTTCTCTTACTATTTTCAGCGTCAAGATGTGGAATGCATCAGATTAATTATTATATTGTTCAGAGTTTGCAATCTAATTCCATCAATGAAATATAAATTTTGATGCCCTTGAGATTTTCAATGGGAACCTGCCCTTCGGTCACAAATCTTTTACTAGCAAAGTATACCAATCAATTTTCTAATCATTTTTAATTAATAAAATATAAGAGAGAAATTTAATTGGGGAAACAATTTAATGTTTTAATGTTTAAGAACGAAGAAAAATGACATATTTCTTTGATCAATTATTTTGTAAGTTTCATTCATCAGAGTTAGATATTGGAAATAAAACCATGTTTTTGGTCTTTGATATATTTTTTGTTATTACTAATATTTATATGTATATAATTTTCCATTTTGTTAGGCCACCAGCCATTCTTGTACCTAGAATTGTCGATTTTATTTCGAAGATGTTGAATTATATTGCTGCACGTGAAGTCAAAGCCCTCCTGGAAGCTATTGCATTATATTTTGGGACTCCTAAGGATCTAGCATTTCCTTTTTGGTCAGGTTTCTCCTTTTTAGAGGAATTAAATCTACGTTATTGTAATATCACAGAGTTACCTGAAAGTCTTGGCCAATATTGCTTCCTAAAATCTTTACAAATAGCTGGAAACATGTTTGAGAGCATACCAAAAAGCATTGAAAGCCTTTGTAAGTTGATGTTGCTTGATGTAAGCTTTTGTTCTAGGCTTCAATGCTTACCAGATCTTCCATGCCAGCTAGAATATGTAAAAGCACAGAGTTGCACATCACTGCAAAAAGTATCAAACTTATCAAAATTATTAACAAATATGGAGAGATCACAAAATAGAGTTCTCAGCTTCATCAATTGTTCGGAACTGGATTATGATGCACTTGCAAAGTCTGTGGCTGATGCTTTAGTTCAAATTCGGCAAAATTCAATTCATCGGTGGGAATTTTATGAGGTGTCTCTCTATCTCTCCTTTCATATGATTTCAATTTCATTCTCTTCAGATCCAACTTTTTTTCTGCCTTTTCTCATACGACTATTTTTATTGTACAGATGGTTTTCCATGATGCAACATTTTTTTTTTGCTTCCCTGGAAATAAAATTCCAGAGTGTTTTAACTTTCAGAATACTGGAGCTAATATAGAGCTACCACAAGATTGGTTCAATTGTAACTTAAACGGTTTGACCTTTTGCACTGTCATAGCCTTCGGAGATCATCATCATGAAAGGCATGATTTGATTGTTAATTGTGAGTTGCTTCTTAAAACTAAGGATGGTAACAACCAGAAAGTTGCTGTTGGCTTTCTTCGGGGTTGGTACAAAGATGATGCACCTGACTATTTTGTGTCAGATCACGTATTCCTGGGTTATGATTGCAATATGTATAGATCTGGCTTTCCTGAATTCTCTGACAATAGTCGGGCCATGGTTAATTTCTATGTTAGCAACAAAGATGGAAAACATTTGGAATGTTGCAAAGTGAAGAAGTGTGGAATCAGTTTATCATACAACCAACACTCTGGGGAAGCGGTGGAAGGGTCCAGTAGAAGTTGCATCTCTACTGAGGAAGCACAGTCCGGCTTAAGGTAAATAAGATTCCTTTTTCTACATACCAGCACTGGTTATTTCACAGGTGTCTGTCGTTTAGATCTCATTTTGCTTGGTTTGTCTCTTTTAGATTTGTTTTCAGGCTTAAATTATTATAAAAAATCTATTCATAAAAACAAGAGTCTGATAGACTCTTTATCCTTTAAATATAAATTAAAGAGTGAGTTTGACTCTCCACATCTAGAGAGTCAAATTTCACTCTTTATCCTAATTTTAATTAATAAACTACAAGTTTCCATACATTTTATTTATTAATTTTCTCTCATATTAAGTCTCTTTCTTGAAAATAAAGAGCATTTTCATTAAATTTAAAGAGTTCATTGGATTTGAAAACAAAATTTATTCTTTATATTTACATATTTAGAAATTAATGAAGATGCTTTTTATTTATATGAAATATGCTCTTTAAAATAAAGAGCACCATTGGAGATGATCTTATATATTACCTAGCTACTAGCTTTGCTTAGGTTTTGTTGGTAATTGTAAGACTATCTTTTAACATGCTACTTCGTAAGAATAATCTTCATCACTGATTGTTGATAGTTTCTCTCTTCTTAATTATCATCATCCAGTATGTAAGAGTATGTAAATTGATGTTTCTCTGCATCTGAAGAATGTCTCATCAGTGGAAGTTGATGACTTTTTATTATTTTTTCAGTAATCGTCAGGTGAAGTATGATGTTTGCCTTAGTTTCAAGGGTAAAGACACCCGCAACAATTTTACTAGCCATCTTCGTGCAGCGTTGTATCGGGCAAAGATTGAAACTTCCATTGATAATGAGGATGATGAACTTATTGGGCAAGATCGTATGAATGCCATTGAAGAATCAAGGATTTCTATTATCATTTTCTCAAAAGGATATGCCTCGTCCAAATGTTGCATGGAAGAACTTGTACAGATTCTTGAATGCAAGAAAAAGTATGGCCAGGCTGTGATACCAATTTTCTATAATGTGGACCGATTGGGTGCAACTGATGTTTTAAAAAATCCTGAATATTTGAAGCAAATGCCAGAAACGCAGAAGAAATGGTTTATTGCATTGAGAGAAGCAACTGATCTAGACGGTTTCAATTCAAATTTCTTTTGGTAACTCATGAATTAGTATTCTTCCCTTAGAATTCTTCACTGTTTTTAGTACTTCTAATTTCTGTTGACTTGCCCCCTTCCACCCCCAACCCCCCAACATTTTGCCATGATCATGACTGATACATTCATTGAAGTAGTCCAGATATTCATAACAACACTTAAGTAAAAATAGTTAAAATTTAAAGTTCTTAAATGCCACGTCATTTGATGGTTGGTCATTTTTTTTTATTTCTTCAATTAAGTAGTATTTTTTATTTTTGGTAGAATCTCATTGACTACCCTTATGATTACCAAATTCATAATTCGCATAACAAGTTCCACACTTATTATCAAATGAATCCTTGAAAGTTTGAAAACTGTATCACATATATCTCTTTGATCGAACTTTGTTATCTTGCTGTTAGTGACAGGGGTAAAATTCTAACTTTAGTTTTATAAGAAAGTGTTTCAATAATTTTTTAAGAAATGTCCATATGTGACATGTTTAGAGTACATTTGTATTAGTTTTTTAGGAAGATTAAATTGATTAATTCCTAAGCAATTTATTTTTCCTGAAAAATTGAATAAGAGGTGTAATAGGGTAATTTGCTCATGTAAACATAACGGCAATGTAACAAACTTAGGGCAAAAGGGTATTAGTGATACGATTTTAAAACTTTAAGGGTCCATTTAATAAGGCAAAAGGGGTATGAGTGATACGGTTTTCAAACTTTGGGGGTGCATTTGATAAAAAGTGTGAAAATTGTCATGCGAGTGATAAATCCTGAAACCTGAAGGGCAATCTATGTACTCCCTTTTATTTTTATCACGCTTGAGTATTGAAATTCATCAATCTCATTGTTTTAATATGCATTTTTCTTTTACTATTTTGAGCATTGAGATATGATATATTTCAAGCTAAATATTATATGTAAAGGATAGGTTACATTTGAATAAATCTAAATTTTTATGCATTTATTTTCTAGTAAGAACATGTATCAGTTTTCTAATTATACAAACTAAATAATATAGAAGAGCCATTTAGTTGGGAGATATGCCTCGCTTTAAAGGATGGAGAAAGTGGCCTATTTTCATGATTAATTATTAGTATCATATTCATTTGACAACTTTTGGAAATAAAATTAGGTTTTGTCTTTTTATGACTTATTTACACTTTGATAGATAAATTATTTATTTATTTTTTAGGTGCGAATCTGATCTTGTAGAGGCTATTGTGAAACGCGTTTTGAAGATATTGAACTTGGTTGGAGTACAATCAAGAATCAAGAAAATTGGATCTCTACTACACACTAGCTCAAAAGATGTTCGCATTGTCGGAATTTTGGGAATAAGTGGTATAGGCAAGACAACCATCACCAAAGCTTTATTTGATGAAATTGAAATTCAGTTTGAAGGTTCTTACTTTGCTTTAAATGTTAGTGAAGAATCCAAAAGTCTTAAAAGACTAACTCTCTTGCGTCAAGAGCTTTTTACTGCCATATTAAAGGATGGACCTTCTGCTCTTGGAAACATCTTCACAAAACTAAGTTTTGGAGCTTATAAAAGGGTTCTCATTGTTTTAGATGATGTGACTTCATCAGAACAAATAAAATTTTTAATTAGAGATCTTCATTGTTTGGGTCTAGGAAGTCGAATCATTATAACAACAAGAGATAGACAAGTGTTGAAAAATTGTGGAGTAGATGATGATCTTATATACAGGGTTGATGCATTATTTCATCTTGAAGCTCTCCAACTTTTTAGTTGGTATGCCTTTCAACAAAATCATCCTCCCTCTAATTATGATGATTTGTCAAAAAGTGTAGTAGAATATGCTAAAGGTGTTCCGTTAGCTCTTAAGGTATTGGGTTCCTTTTTACGCGAGAAGACTAAAAGTGAATGGGAAAGTGCAATAAGTAATCTAAAAGGAAATCCTTGTAAAGATATCCAAATGGTGTTAGAAGTAAGTTATAAGGAGCTAGATGATTATGAGAAGAATATATTTCTAGATATTGCATGTTTTCTTAATTGGGAGTGTAGAGATTTTGTAATAAAATTTTTGAATGTTAGTGGTTTCTACGCAGAAATTGGAATGAGTGTTCTCATTGATAGGTGTCTGATCACTGTTTCAAACAACAGAATAATAATGAATGCTTTGCTTCAAGAAATGGGTTGCAAAATTGTCCAAGAAGAAAACAGTAGAGATCCTAGCAAGCGTAGCCGTTTGTGGTATCATGCAGACATCTATCATGTGTTGAAAAATAATATGGTAAGAACCAAAGGCTTTAATTTTATTACATATGGATCTAGTGAAACATAAACTTGTGTTAGTTCCACTTTTCCTTGTGCAATAATTTTGATAATAATGTGTTTGGGTGGGCTTAACAGACGTGCTATTTTAAATTATCATGAAAAGACGATTGAAAAAGGAAAATAATGTTTTGAGATTTTCAGCATTGAAATCTTTATGTAGGCTTTTAAATATTTGACGCTACCTGATTATCTTTTTTCATTGGTAGGGGAGTGAAGCACTTGAAGGCATATGCTTGGACATGTCCAAAATAACACATATAGTTTTAAATCCTCATGCTTTCGCAGAGATGTCTAACTTGAGATTCTTGAAAATATATGACTCACATTGTGGATTGAGGAGTATTAATGAGCTGTGTGCTACTAAAGACCTTGAATTGAGGAGTATTAATAAGCTGTGTGCTACCAAAGACCTTGAATTTCTTTTCAGTGAGCTAAGTTACCTATGTTGGCATGGGTTTCCATTGGAATCATTGCCATCAGACTTTTGTTTACAGAATCTTGTTGCACTTGATATGCCTTACAGTGATATTCAACAACTTTGGACTGGTGACCAGGTATATACTAATATTTATTCGTGCATTGTCTTTTTCAGATTATTGAATATCAGATATGCTAATTTGTATTGGTCATTTTCACATTACAGATTCTTTTTAATTTAAAAACTATCGACCTCAGTTACTCCAAACGTCTACAGAAAAGTCCAAATTTCTTGCTCACCCCAAATCTAGAGAGCTTGATTTTAGAAGGCTGTACAAGTTTGCTTGAGATTTCATCATCTATTAATTGTCTCGATAAACTTGTTATCTTAAACCTAAGGCAGTGCAAAAGGCTAAGTAGTCTTCCAACCAGCATCGACTCAAAGTTTCTTAGAAAAGTTATTCTTTCTTCTTGCTCAAATCTCAAGAAGTTTCCAATTATATCATCTAATATAGAAGAGCTATTTTTAGATGGAACTGCAATAAAAGAATTGCTTCCCTGGATCGAAAATCCATCTAGATTATTGACACTGAATTTTGAAGACTGTTCAAGACTTGAGAGTCTCCCAAGCAATTTATGTCTGATGAAGTCCCTTGAACATCTTAATCTCTCTGGGTGTTCAAAACTTGATCGGTTGCCAAATAGTTTAGGAGATTTAAAAGCTTTAAAGGTGCTTAAAGCAGAGAGGCTTGCTCAAAGAGAAGTAGTGGAAGAAGTAGAGGAAGTAGTAGTGGAAGTACCATCATCCATTAAATATTTGCTGAAAGCAGAGAGGCTTGCTCAAAGAGAAGTACCATCACCCATTGCATTTTTTCAGAAAGCAGAGGCGCTTGCTCAAAGAGAATTACCATCATCCATTGCATCTTCGCAGAAAGCAGGGAGGCTTGCTCAAAGAGAAGTACCATCATCCAGTGCATCTTTGGAGAAAGCAGGGAGGCTTGCTCAAAGAGAAGTACCATCATCCATTGCATCTTTGCAGTTTTTGAAGGAACTAAATCTGACTGATTGTGGTATTGTGAAGTTACCTAGAAGTTTGAGAAACTTGTCATCACTTGAGAGTTTATTTCTGGGCAGAAACAATTTTGAAAGCATTCCACCAACCGTCTTACAACTTCCGAAGTTATGTTATCTTGACTTGAGCTATTGTCAGAGGCTTCAATTCTTACCAGTGGTTTCGAATTGTTTACAATATGTAAATGCAAACGGTTGTACATCACTAGAAGGATCATTACTAACTGCTGTTTTTGAAAAAGCTAGCTTCATCAATTGTTTCAAACTAGAACAAAATGAACTGCTAGACTATGTGATAGAAGTGCTACTGAATGTTTGGAACCTATTACGTGTAAGATCTCTCAATCACTCACTTAATTCATTTAATGATCTTTTCTTTATAAATAAGTCTGATTTTAAAGCTTCACACAATAACTGTAACAAACGATATTTTTCTTGATACAGCGTCGGAGGCCAAGACCTAGTGCTTATATCTGTTTCCCTGGAAATCAAATTCCAGAGTGGTTTACCTTTCAAATTATTGGAGCTTCTGTCAGTGCAATTCAAACATCAGGTAAGCGTTATACAGGATCAGTTAGTTTTGCTGTGTGTGCTGTTGTAGAGTTCCGAAACTATCAAGATGATGGCCACGGCTTGGTAGTCCGTTGTGAATGCAAGCTCGGGAATAGAGATGGTGCGGTGGTACTTTACTATGGTATCCCACCCAACTGTATTGACTCAGAGCACACCTTCCTGGGATATGATCTTCACATGTGTAACTTTGATTTATGTGATAGTCGATACAATGACGATTATGAAGTGAGCATCCAATTTTATGTCGAGGATTTAAATGGTAAACGGATAGACAGTTGTGAGGTGAAAAAGTGTGGTTTTTATTTATTGTTCCATAATGTAATGTGGGATGATAATGATGGTGATGATGAAGAAGAAGAAAAGATGCGGGATGATGATGATGGTGATGATGAAGATGAAGAAGAAGAAAAGATGCGGGATGATAATGATGGTGATGATGAAGAAGAACCACCCTTTAAGAAGTTGAAGGGAGTTTTGTTGTAGATCGATCTTGGGTTGTTTCCTTGGGAGAATCATACTTTGTATGGTTTCATATATCACTTCGTGTATATACGGTAATTACTCATTTCTTCTGGACCATTTTGTTATTTAAATTCTATTAGCTTAACCTTTTCAGTCTACATTCATTAAATTATACTTTGATACGATATTATAAAGCTAAGTCTACTATATATATATATACCATTGTATTTTATTTTGGAGGTGACAATGTGCGGGGTTTGCTTAACGATTCTCCCATTTAAATCTGTCTCTTAAATGGTGAACAGCCATTTTGTTATTGTTTTCATGCTTACAGTCATTTTGAATGATTTTCTTTTGGGTCTAAAACATACGTTCATATGATGGATAAGGATTCACCTTCCAGTTTTCTAGTTTTATTTCTCAAGTAAAACTCAAATTGGTGATTGGGATTAAAATAGGAGAATTAAATTCATACTGGAACTTAATTAATCAATCAATAATGTTTCCTGTTGTTATGAGTATTGATTTTATTATTTTGATGATTATAGTCATTGTGTTTTTCTTTTTTTATAGTCATAAGCCTGTATATTTAAGATGCTTTATGTAATTTTATTTAATTCATATTGCAATTGAAATCTTGATGAATCTTTTTCAGATATATATATCAATGACGTATAATTCATGTTTCTATCTTAATCAAATCAAAAATTTCAAATTTATTTTTAAAAATTCAAATTAAGCATTTTTATTAATATAAATATTGTGATTTGTTTTTTTAATTATTGTCAAATGCTCTATATAAAACTTGAATGTGAATGAGTTATGAAACCAAATAATAATAATAATACCATGCATTTAAAATTATATTGTTGATGTTAAATGTTCTGAAACCCAACCCGAGGTAACCCAGCTAAGGGGTCGGGTACTTGCAGCAAGTTTAAAATCTAGCAAACACACCCTTGAAAAATACGTAGCAGTCCGTGTAAGTTTGAAATCTAGCAAACATACCTCTGCAACAGTTAGGTTTTCACTTTTCCGACCAAATTCAAACGATAAAAATTCAATTCAACACCACCACCTGAACTAGCGGCCTCTATTCTATAAAACCTCTTTAACATTGACACTTAGTAGCCCCCTGTTTTTCGGCCGTGATTTGTGTATACCTTTATTTTTTTGGCAAAATTTTGATTGGTTCCGACGGCCAAAATTTAATCTGACACCACCACTTGAACCATCGGCTTCCACTCTACAAAACCCATCTGACCTCGACGCTTGGGTAACGTCTCGCTCATCAGCTGCAACTCACGTGTACCTTGATCTTTTCAACCAAATTTCATCTGATGTTGGCGTTCAAAATTCAATTTGACACCACCCATTGAACCATTGACCTCCCCTCTACAAAACCCCTCCAACCTTAACAATTGGTAGCCCCTTGTTTGCCGATAAATAGGTTAGGGATTTTGAGAACAGTTGAAAGTGGTAACTCAACCTAGAGAAGGCCTTGGGTCTGATCTGACTGGTTAAACAATAATATTATTCAATTTCGTTTTGGCAATAGTAATATGCTAACATATATTATTTTTAATTTTTTTAAAACAATGTTTCAATTAATTTAAATATCGGAATATCAAATTTGAATATAAACAACTTTTGTAATACTGCATTTTTTTATGAATACCTGAATCGGTTCCATTATTAACTAGATTTAAAGCTCGTGTATTGCGCAGTTATTATATATTTTTTACATTATTATGATTATTTGTGGTTTTAAATATATATATTTTTTATATTGAAGTTTATTTTATATTGAATTGATAATTAAAGAAATCAATAAAAAGAATATTATATAGGAAATAAATAGTATATATTTATTGTTGTTGTAAAGAAATATTATATACAAAATGAAGTAATATTAATTTTATCATATTTTGTAAATAAAATATTAGATCCAAATGAATCTTCATTCTTTCATTTCCTCTCTTTACATTCTTTCTTGAAGCAATGAATTCATCAAACTCTTAACAAATCACACAATTCTTCTCTCACTACATTTCAGCCAAACCCACATCAAAATTTCCAACAATATCACCCATCTCAAAGATCAAAGCCTAAAATTTCACATTACACTCAAATTCTAGATCACCAACCCCAATTAAAAAGATCTACCATACCCACCAAAACCAATCCCCAAATCCAAACAAAACTCGCAACAACTATTGTTAAAGAATCAGATTAAAGTTACATTTAATCTCTTGAAAATTCTAGATCACCAACCCCAACTAAATTTTTTAGTTCAGTTTATACACAAAAACCCCTAACCATGGAAATACAACACCTTTCAACACATACCAGCTTGTTTTGCAGGGTCTCCTTTGAATGAAGTATATACATCCCTGTTGAATGTATCAGTGTAGGACAACAATTCTTCAATAAACTTCTTTTTGTCAGCATCCTACAATATTTTCATAACATTACTTCAGCTGAAGTTANGGGTTTGAAGGCAAATCAGGCTCAAGGTTTTTGTTGCGTTCATCTTCATCGTGGTTCTTGGTCTTCGACTCTCTATTGCTCTTTTGCCTTCATCGTCAATCGACTGATCATAGCTATTGCAATTTGCTATTGGTTTGTGTTGAATTCTGTTATTGCTTGTGTTGAATTCTGTTATTGCTTGTGTTGAATTTGTCTTAATTTAAAGAGTGATTTTATGGTATAATGATTAGTTGAGATAACATAATGGAAATGGGTTTATTTTCAAATATTATGACATCAATTTTGTTGATGCGGATTTTACACCAACTAAACACATGTGTGACTCATGTGTACCTTGATCTTTTCAGCCAAATTTTAGCTGATTTTGGCGTTTAAAATTCAATTTGACACCACTCATTGAACCATTGACATCCACTCTACAAAACCTCTCTAACCCTAGCAATTCATAGCTCCTTGTTTGCCGATAAATAGGTTAGGAATTTTGAGAACAGTTGAAATTGGTAACTCAGCCTAGAGAAGGCCCTAGGTCTTGATCTGACTCGTCAAACAATAATATTATTCAATTTCATTTTGGCAACAGTAATATAGCAACATATATTATTTTTTATTTTTTTAAAACAATGTTTCAATTAATTTAAATATCGGAAAATCAAATTTGAATATGAACAACTTTTGTAATACTGCATTTTTTATGAATACCCGAATCTGTTCCATTATTAACTAGATTTAAAGCTCGTGTATTGGGCAGTTATTATATATTTTTTACATTATTATTATTATTTGTGGTTTTAAATATATATATTTTTTATATTGAAGTTTCTTTTATATTGAATTAATAATTAAAGAAATTAATAAAAAGAATATTATATACGAAATAAATAGTATATGTTTATTGTTGTTGTAAAGAAATATTATGTACAAAATGAAGTAATATTAATTTTATCATATTTTATAAATAAAATATTAGATCCAAATGAATCTTCATTCTTTCATTCCCTCTCTTTACATTCTTTCTTGAAGCAATGAATTCATCAAACTCTTAACAAATCACACAATTCTTCTCTCACTACATTTCAGAAAAACCCACATCAAAATTTCCAACAATATCACCCATCTCAAAGATCAAAACCTAAAATTTCACATAACACTCAAATTCTAGATCACCAACCCCAATTAAAAAGATCTACCCTACCCACCAAAACCAATCCCCACATCTAAACAAAACCCGCAACAACTATTGTTAAAGAATCAGATTAAAGTTACATTTAATCTCTTGAAAATTCTAGATCACCAACCCCAACTAAATTTTTTAGTTCAGTTTATATACAAAAACCGCTAACCATGGAAATACAACACCTTTCAACACATACCAGCTTGTTTTACAGGGTCTCCTTTGAATAAAAGTATATACATCCCTGTTGAATGTATCAGTGTAGGACAACAATTCTTCAATAAACTTCTTTTTGTCAGCATCCTACAATATTTTCATAACATTACTTCAGCTGAAGTTAAGAGATACTAAAGTTTCTATTAAGAGCAGCAATGAAATATGCACATCTTATAAAAATATTTTAAGAAAGAATGCATATTCAATCAAGTCAATACTCTCTCCAATAATTTTGCTATTGTGATCCAATGCTGGAACCTGTAAAGAAGAACTTTAAATGGTAAATACTTCAATAGTCCTAACAATGACCTTAGTCTGTAAAGACTAAAACATAACACATAATTTAACTAATATTTTTTTAAAGAATCCATTGCAAAAAAATGCTATTGAGATGTTCCGGAGTAGCCAATGGTTACAAAGAAATCAGAGCGGACATGCTAGATGCTTGACCCTTGATTTGTGTAATAGTGTTAGTCATAAAAACAAATCATATAAACCACACAATTCAGTTATAATAGCAAATTACTGCTTCCTTGTCATCACTTTCTCTTCATCAGCAGATGCATGAGAGTGCGACCTTGTTTCGTGAACCTTAATATTTACAGAACATTCCAACAAACAAAACAAAACATTAGCAACCCAATAAACTAAATGGTGTGTTATATTTCACGAGAGAGACTAACAATAAGAATTTAAACAATAAAAAATATACCATAGTTGCATTGTTGTTCTCAACGTTGTTGGTGTTGTTCTGGTTGTGGTTCTCTTCACTGCCCTTATCTTCTTCAAAACCAAGCTTTTCATCCCATTTTCGAGTCATTTGATACTTCTTTATCAACTATTGCAGAGAGAAATAGAACTCAAATAAATACACATAAATATAACATTAGCCAGACAGTCAAGTCTTAATTGTAAACCATTCAAGCAGTAAAGTGTGTTCCTTCCCACATTGGTATGAATGATTTCTATATTTGGATTCTTTTGTCAACTAATGCATTCTCCTTCGTCTAACCTCTTTGAATTTGTTAACAATTTAAGACAGTGAACAAAATAAAGAATATGCAAAGAAACTTATCATGTCCTTGACAAAAAAAGACGCATATGAACTCCAGAAAAGAGTAAAAGACCAACAGCAACACCAAAACACTCCTAAATTGAACTCCACTGTCACTCATACAATAAAACTCCACTCAAGTCCCAACAGCAACAACCATTTCAACTTGCATAAATGACGTTACAATCATAATTCAACAATCAAAATTTCATTGACCAATTTAAAAATAAACAATAAGAAATCAAATAGTAAGAGATAATATTACAAAACTGAACAATAAGAAATAATATACAAAACTGGATAAGAAAGATATGATAGAGAAGTTTGGAGGAAAAATGATAGAGTTCTCAAGGACCTATAATAAGTTTTGATAAAAGCTTTTAATAAAGAAAAGACCAGTTGTAGATAGGCTGTCTTTAACCCACCATTTTACTAAACTTTTTTTTAAAGGAATTTGCCAACTCACTTGTTGTTACCATCTTCTGAAGCAAACTTTGTTTGGTATCTATCAATTATTTTTATAAAACTGCCCTTTAGATATGTTGGTGAATACAAGAGAATCATTCAATCCAAATTGAATATATTATTATTCTAATTGTGTAGACCTATCCAGTTCACTCAGCATAATGTCTTTGTAAATAAAGTACTCTAATTATAAATTAAGCAAACCCTTGATTTGTGTCTTGGGAGTTGGTTGGATTTGCATACGTAGTGGTTATAGGTAAAGACATGAATTCTATTCAGGTATTGCCACAACAAAAGAAGAAGGATTTAAAAAAGAAAAAAGTGGTCAAGAAGCAACCAATGGGAACTTTGCATACCTATTTATAAGATAATGATGATAAGTTGCGAAAAAGTTGGTGTGTATATGTTGATCAATCAAACCTACTACATCTCCGTGCTCCCTAATTTGTTATATTTTGTAACTACATATCGAATAAGAGTTTCAGTGAAAACCTCTATTAACAACCCTAATCCTTTGGGGGAATCTGAAGTAATCGGTTAGATAAGAACTCTAATAGAGACCTTTATTAGCAACTCTATTATCAATTGAGGTGAGATTCGAATTCATAATCTCTTGAGTAATATATCAAAGAGTCCATATCGAATCACTCAATCATTCAAATGTTGGTTGTATCAAGGATTTTTTCTTGTACTAATTGACATCACCTTTACGATAATTATTAGTTTTTTTCTCGTGATACGTGTAAAGTTTTATAAAAATAAATACATATTGAATTTATTTTTCACACGTGTCACAAAAGAGAGTTGTTGACTATCGTTTGAAACATTATCGCTAACACTCCTCTTATCTCATGGGAGCATATATTTAATGTATGAATAATACTAAATTCACAACATTTTCTCACAACCCCTGATGTGGTAGCTCGTTATTGGTTAATTCACAAATTGGCAGACAAGACCCATTCAAGCAGGCAAGACCCATTTTGCGAGCTGTCTAATAATGAATTGCCACATCAAAAGTTATGAGAAAAAATTGTAAAATTGGATTATGAACCTAACATTACTTTATATGTATTTACGACTCTTTCAATAAGTGATGCACAAAAAATTCTTTCAAATATATATATACAATATTTGAAAGAATTTTTTGTGCATCACTTATTGAAAGAGTATATATATATATATATATGCAAAGCTATTGATTGGATTCCTGGTAAATAGCTTTTTCAGCTCTTGTGGGGATCCTTGGTTTAGACCAAAAAGAGAAACCAGCAAGAGGGATCCAAGTTAGCATATATTGGTAAAAATGCCTAAATGTTGCAAGATAAGAATGATGCTCTTTACTCATTAGCCTGGCAGGCTATTAAAGCATTTTCATTCTCAACAATTATTGTGAAGACAGGTGGGTCAAAGAATAACACTCATTTGATCTTTAAATAACATAATGCTCTCACATTTAATGTTCTCAGGGTCCATTGAACACCGTACGATCCAATGGATCCAGTAAATCAAACTAACCTAAAGTCTTATCATCCGACCATAAGCTAAATTGTTACGTTTCATCCATTCTTAACAACGATGATGATGATGACGATGATTCTACCTTCTCAAGAAGCTATAATGCTTCTCAACTTCAGTCTGAAAATTGCAATTTGTTCACCGGCATATCAACAATCAACACACATTGCAAGAACCAATCACCCCAGTCAAGAACTAACCATTACATTAAAACAAAATTGTAAGCAACATTTCTGCAGTCAAACAGATGGTGAGCGCAATTCTCTTTTCCTAATTGTTGCCAATAACAAGATTTGGTAAAATATCTACACTAAAAATTTTCCAAGCCAAGAAGAACAATGCACAATTGAACAACAGATTTAGTCTAAAATTTTTACTTGGACTTCCTTGTAGACTTTGACCTTTTCATTTTGTTGCTAGACTTATCTTCAATGCTTGTCCATGTATACCCACTTGGTATTGCAAAAGGGTCTGTCTCCCAATGTTGTTGCACCCCTCCTGCCGTTGATGACGACGAACACCGCTGCTGCTGCTGCTTGCTCGCCGATTGGCTGCTGCTTCTCCTTAGCCACGACGATGAAGAAGACGATAACGACCATGATGATGATGGGAATGATGAATAATGTGTGTCTGATTTTTTATCATCCTCGGATGAGCCTCTATGGAAATGTCTAGGACTTGAGAGGGGAGTGAAGAATTGTTCTGTTGATTGTAGCTCAACAAATTTTGTAAACGTCACCACCACCCTCACCGTAGGGACCACCGGAATCGCCACCTGACCCACACAAACAAACAAACAATCAAATCAAATCAAATCAAATCACCCTTTGATCAAACTTTTGCCGGCAAATCAATTCCTACATCAATCCGTTCAGATTCAAAGCTATGTCAAAAAAAAATAAAAGCTAACCGCTACCCTATTTTGTCAAAATTTAACTATCCACCCCCTGGTCCCACTTCGTTTGACAAAAGGCTCTGATGACGTGGCGGAATCAGGATGATTCTTTTCCCCTTTGGCCCACGACAGGGGTAACATATAGGACCCACTCGTCATCCCCCAAAAGAAAAGAAACCTCGGAAGATCATCTGGGTCCCACACACCTATCACACCGTCCAAAGACTTCCACGTCACATCATAAAACAAACATAGATCCCACCCAAAAGCTTCTCCTCTAATCAGAGAAGATTTGTATCAAGTAAAAGCATCAAAAGAACAGAATTAAAGCAAAGCAAAACACTGGACCCCACATAACCCCACAATTTTAAACTAAATTTACTTAATTTCCAAAAATGCCCTTACCTTAACCGGGAAAGTGCCCGACGGGAACTTAGTTGTCAGCAGTTCTCTCAACCGTCGCACAGCCTTCACTTTATTCGCCAAAATATCAAGTAACGGAAGTAACTCCTCCGTCTTTAACGGGAACTGTTCCGTTAACCAAACCGACGGTCGTAAACTTCTCACGTACTCTTTCTCCTTCGTGGGCGGCAAAGGCGCCAAGTTAACCGCAGCCGAAGTCGACTTCCTCGGCGCAGTCATCGGTCGCGAAGACATCGCAGAAGAAGGAATGATATCAACGCTCTTTCTCCCAACGGTCACCCAATCTCTTTCCTCCCTCACAAAACTACTGTGTCTTCTCTTCTCAACGTTGAAATTGAGACTTGGATTCTCAGCAACGAAGAATCCATCGTCATCTTCGTCAAGTTCGAGTGGTAGTACTTGTTCGCTTCCAGCGACATCGTTTTCGGCAACTTTACGTGACCTGAAACTGAAAACGACGTTGTGTAGTTCATATACTCTGGCTTTCCATTCACCAACAGATTCTGTCTTCTCTTGTCGTCTCCAATTGGTTCGGCCGACAAGTTCGGCTTTAGTGACGTCCATTCCGGGCCGGTACACGCTAGTTTGCGCGCAGAATCCGGCAATGTCGGACTCGGACATCGGACCTCCGGCGTTTTCGAAAGCGTCTAATATTTTGCGGTCGTCGCGGTTGAGAACCAGCAAGGAACCGGGAGGAACGTTGTGTGTTTGGTCACCGTCTCCAAGGAAGAGAAAGCTTTGATCGGCGCGTTGGATTTTCAAGCCGTCGAAGCCAGCGAGTGACGTATCAGCCCGGAGATTACCATCGCGTTTCCAGATCTTGTAAGTGTCAGACGGAGCTATTTTCCCGACGAACGGAATGACGGAGCTTTCGAAGTGGAAGGAAATTTCCATATAGAAGTCACGCATTCTGCGTAAGACCGAAATGACACGTGGCAAGCGTCGACGCCACTTGGCCCAGGCCGAGCGGTGATGCAGCTTGAGTAGAATCAACGAAATGTCAGAATTACGACGGCAAACCGCCTCTTGTAGGGGGTTCCAACCGGCAGCATTTTGGAGAGACACGTCAGCACCGGCTGCAGCGAGAGACCGAGCAGCGAAGGCATCATTAAGTCTAACGGCGAGATGGAGCGGAGTTTCCCGCAAAGGAACGTCGCGACGGTCGAGAACAGAGGAGATTTGGTCAGCGAGTCGTTCTTGACTGAGAGAGTCAGACTCGGTGTGAATTTTAGAAGGATCGGAGAGTTTAGGGAGGGTGGAGATTACCCGGGTAAGGGTAGTGTGATCACCCAAAACGACGGCGTAGTGAACTGGACAGTGGGAGTAATCTTCAGGCTTAAGAGCCGGTAACGGCGTCGTAGCAGACGAGGCCGTTGAGGATTTGGCCATGAAAGCAAAAGGAGACGAAAGAGTTTTCAGATGTGTTTATTTTATTTTATTTTCTTTGTTGTATTTTTGACTAGCACAGAAATGAGAGGAATGTTTATGGGGAGGGTGAAACGGGGGTAGTTTAGTAATTAGAGAGCGTGATTTTTGTTTTTATTGAAGAATGTGTAACCTGAGAGAAGAAAGAAAAGGGGGAAGATACACACAATCTGGCACGGCTTTTTGTGATTACTTGAGAGGCATTGTACAGTCTGCACCGCAGAGAGGCCGCGGATATTTTTCTTTCCAACTCTGTACAGTAGTACCTACTATTCGGTATGACTTCTCTTTTTCTCTTTACTTGAGTTTGCTTTTGTCTGCTATGTTTATGTTTTTTTTTAATTATTAATATGGTAAATATTTTGAATTTTCACTGTCCTGATTCCTTCTGTCCTGTGCTTCTGCTCTGTGAGATGATGTCACAGACACTAGATTGGCCCACTTTAATTAGACTAAAATAATAATATAAAGTTTTTTTTTTTAATATATAAATCAAAATATTTATTTAGAGTGATCTTCTTGATCATCTCTTGATAGATTTCGTATTCAAAACATGAGAAACTTAAAATTCTGAAATGGGTTCCACGTGATCCATCAGATTTTAAGTTTTCATGTTCTTTAATTACTTATTATTTTTTGTGAATATTTTTTCTTGGTGATTGGAGTATCCAAACCAATTTGTACGCTCCTCCCGATTAGCTCTTGATCCATTAAATACAAAATACAAGTTTAATGAAACAGGCAAGTTATAAATACGATAAATGATTATTTGATGGATTCGAATATAAATTTTTTAGATAATTTAAGGTCTTCTTACCTGACTACAACTATCAAATTTACAAATGAACAATAGGAATTTGATTTAATTGTTAATTGTTAAATAAGAGTTTTAAGTTAATAAAGTAAACTACGTATTTGTAGATAAGGCAATCATTTGGGATTGTTTAATTATAGTAAGAAGAGAAGGAAGTGGGTGATTAAATTTTGCAAATCACGACATGGTTTGGCGTGTGGTTAGGGATTATTGGTGGGGACATAGAATGATAGAAATAGGAAAAGAAGAAGAAGAAGTAAAATAAAATAATAAAAATGGTGGAGTTTGATTTAGTGTTGTCGGAATCACTGTCGCTGTTACGCAAACCAAGAACACAGGAACAATGTCTGCCCTAGCCCAGACCAATACCTAACGGATTTCACTCTTTACCATACGCCCATTCTCCCCTCTTCTCTCTTGTTTCTTTCACATTGCTAATTGCACAGTCACCTTCTTTTTTAAAAAAAAAAAAAAACTTACAAATGTCAGCGATTTAATCTATGTTTTGGGATGAAGATGCACCATTTTTTAGAATTCATTGTTTCTTCACAGCGTTTATACAAATATTTGAAACTGCCTCCTTTGACTCTTATACTGGTGAAGAAAATATCAGTATTTTAAAATCCGATCTGGCTGGTTGAACCAGTTAAATGGAGATTTGAGGCATTTACAAGGCCAGGTTATCAATTTTATTGTTTATGGTAAATCTTAGAAATTATAACAACGATCGACGAACAATTGGTGGTTGGGATATTGGGGGTTTTAAAGAAGAAAGGTTGGTGAGTCAAAAGATGGTGACGAATGTAATTTTCAGTGAATGGAACGATCGAAAATCTCATAATTATGTCTTTTTGTTGAAACGGAAAGCAAACACGTTATAAGAAAAGTATAAAATAATAGCATAACACAATAATTTACCTAGTTTTTTTTTTTTTTTTTTTTTCAAGGAACTAAGTCAGCAGTCAAATAGAGAGATTTAATTGAATATAAAAAAAACTGCATAATATAAAGATAAACTACATTGGCAACTCACTCTTCTTTCTATCCTCTCACCTTAGGTTTTTCACTATTACAGAAAATACATAATAGAAACTAAACATCATTTGGGCTTACTTGAATCTAATCTGACTCAGACCCAAACATTAGTAAACTAATCCTAAACCCAATTAAACATTGGGCTTACTATGAAGGGGACGCTGCCCAATCATCAAAGAGCAGAACCCCTAAATGAATCATCGTGGACAGATAATCCGTCAAGGCTAAGAAAAGTATGCACCATATCCAACGCCTTTGTTATTCATCTATTCTATTTTTTTGGAGTCAATTTTATATTTTTACATAATAATTACTTTTCACTTAGATTCGTCATAATTATATCAGTCCTTAAATTATGATTGGGTAATGCTATGCGTACTAACTTAAAGTATGTATAGATATTATACGTATAGTATGGGTACTATGTGTGATTTTAACAAATGTTAATATACTGACGCAAAGTATTATTCATTATGATTTAAGAAGTTTATACAAACATTTGAAAATGCCTTCTTTTGACTCTTATTTTGGTGAAGAAAATAGTCACACCATCGACCAAATCTTGTAATTCTATTATATTATATTCATAAGATCTGGCACCTGTCGTTGAGTCTCCCAAATCTCACATATTTGATGGAGAAAACAAGGCTTAATTTGTTGTGCATAAGGAAGACGAGTGACTGTATCTATTAGGTTAGTGAGGAGAACGTGATTGGTGTAATGGTGTTGGTGTTGTTGGTAAGACTGTCACACCTGTGGATATCCAAAACAAGCGTAATTATATTTATGACGTGATGGATCATAAACTACCGTGGTACATACTCTTCACCAAATTACATTAAACATTCATCTACTCATCTCATCTCACCAAACCCTTTTAAACAAACAACTTTGTGATCTTATCTCTTAATGCTAACTTCTTCGTAACCCCTCCTACTTGTTTCCAAGAAGCTGTGAAGATATGGTCAAGAATTTACTCAAGAGTAATTTGTTTGATGTCAATGATTGGAACATCAGAAGCACCACTGAAATGCATGTGCTTTCTTCTCATTGCTTAATTTATAAGATTCAAGACTTTGCGTTTAATCTTAGTAGTTATTGTATTATTCATTTGGAAATACAATTTTGATTGTTTATAGTTTCTGCGGAAATTAACCACAAGTAGAGTCAATACATATGTGTTTGTTATGCCTGGAAAAGTAGGACTGACGCATAAACCTGTCAGCGCAAGTGGTCAGAGCTTAGGTAAGTCCAGGTGCCGTTCAGGTGCAATCACGTTCCGCGCTAATGCAAGAGGCTTGCTCCTGCCAATACAGTAGGTGCGCGTCAGGCTGGTGAAGGGCTGGAGGTGATCCACGTGTCCAATCCCTGCGAGAATTGAGTAAATCATTCAGGCAGGTGAATAACAGGGCGCAAGGAAGGATTTGGACGGAAATCTGACCCACTTCCTGATTTAGTAATCATTACGTGATTTCATCCCACTATAAATAGAGGGCCCTTCTCCCGTTTGTGGGATTAGCTAATTTTTATCTGTAATAACACACTTATTTTCTCTTTGTAATCGCTTGTAAGTCAGCTCGTTGAACGCGACATGACTTTAGTATATTAATACAATATCAGTAGACGTAGGAGTCGCTTGTTTAAGCATCCGAACCATTTTAAACATCGTTCTCCATCTTTTATCCATTATCATACCCTCAGTTGCGTGTGCCTTCTGAGTCGGCTCAATATTTCACACGTGTGCTTAGTTGGTGCCAAAATCAAGTATGAATAGTGTTCAACAAGTTCAACCTACTGGTATGTATTCATTGAATTAATATTCAAGTCCTGCAAATCAATTGTTGTCATCACAGCATTAATATATACAGATGCCACCTCTAATATTAATTTCTTGGAAGCTACCTAAAGTCCCACATGTCACAATTAAGCAAGGGTCCAGAATCAGCTCTCCCATGCATGGACTTTTCTTCATTGTTCTTCCCTTCTTCCTTGTCTATATATATAGTAGAAGAGCAGTAGATTTCTTTTCAAGAACAAAACACAAGACCACTTGTACTGTTGTACCTGCTAAAGAGTAATTAATACACAAATCTCTTGATAACTTATTGCGCTTGCAGATTGCTTATTATGGCTTTATTATCCCGCAGTTTCAATTATTTTTTGTGAATATTTTTTCTTGATGATTGGAGTATCCGAACCAATTTGTACGCTCCTCCTGATTAGCTCTCGATCCATTAAATATAAAATACAAATCTAATAAAACAGGCAAGTCACAAATACAATAAATGGCTATTTGATGGACTCCAGCATACAACTTTTAGATAATTTAAGGTATTCTCACCTGATCACAACTATCGAATTTACAAATGAACAATAGGAATTTGATTTAATTGTTAATTGTTAAATAAGAGTTTTAAGTTAATAAAGTAAACTACGTATTTGTAGATAAGGCAATCATTTGCGATTGTTTAATTATAGTAAGAAGAGAAGGAAGTGGGTGATTAAATTTTGTAAATCACGGCATAGTTTGGTGTGTGGTTAGGGATTACTGGTGGGGACATAGAATGATAGAAATAGGAAAAGAAGAAGAAGAAGTAAAATAAAATAATAAGAGTTTAATTTAGTGTTGTCGGAATCACTGTCGCTGTTACGCAAACCAAGAACACAGGAACAATGTCTGCCCTAGCCCAGACCAATACCTAACGGGATTTCACTCTTTACCATACGCCCATTCTCCCCTCTTCTCTCTTGTTTCTTTCACATTGCTAATTGCACAGTCACCTTCTTTTTTTCAAAAAAAAAAAAAAAAACTTATAAATTTCATTTTTTAGAATTCATTGTTTCTTAACAACGTTTATACAAATATTTGAAACTGTCTCCTTCGACTCTTATTCTGGTGAAGAAAATATCAGTGTTTTAAAATCTGATCCGACTGGTTGGACCAGCTCAATCGGGATTTGAATTTTGAGGCATTCACAAGGCTGGGTTACCAATTTTACTATTTATAGCAAACCTTAGAAATTAGAACAACGATCGACGAACAATTGGTGACTAGGATGTTAGAGGTTTTGAAGAAGAAATGTTGGTGAGTCAAAAGGTGATGACGAGGTAATTTTTAGTGAATGAAACGACTGAAAATCTCATAATTATAATCTGGTTTAAT